GCTTCTTAAACACGAGAAAGCCGTGGGCCGGGAGCTCATTGCTGGCTGTAAAGCGGGCTGGTGCTCAGGGCCCTGCACAGATTCAGGGAGCGCGAAGGGATATTGGTTAGTTTGCTGGCTGTGCCTTTGGGCTGCTCTGCCCCTCCTGGCCTCTGCTGTGTGTGACCCGGAGCTAGCCTGGAGGCTGCCATGTGGCCCGCCCGCTATCAGCAGCACTGACTGTACCAAGCAGGGCTGCTGCTTTGAGTCACCGAGCCTCAGTGGGCAGCCCTGTTTCTCCAACCTGAGGGAGTACCCGGGTAAGCAGCCCCCTCCCGCATCCCACAGCGAGGATGTGTGTGAGTATATATATATATATCTGGCACACATCCATCTGTTTCCGGTAAATGAGATAATAACCCAGGGATGTTGTCCTCCAATGTCCTTGTGGTGTAATAGTGACTGGTGCGAAGTATCGATGCTTACGCCTTTTCCTGGGTGCGATTGTATTGTCATGTAAAACTTCGTGATTTCAGTTCTATACTAATGTTCTATTAACTGCGGTGGTGTCTTGTTTGCCACTTTCAACACCGCCGTTTCCTCGCACCCCCCAATCCCACCATGTTTCCAGTGAGGCTGGGGGAGACTGGAAGTATCTTTCACTTTGACTGATTTTGACTTTTCAGAACAAATATCGCCAGGGTTGATCTTTTCCTGTAGCTGTAACGGTGTTCTGTGTTTTATTCCTTTACCCTGATGTATTTGTGTCAGTCAAGGTTTGCCTGGATAGCATGTAAGCAATTACTTACTGTTGGGTATTACTTGACAACAATCAAAAACAAATTTGGAACTTGTATCCTGGGCTCCTATCCCTATCCTCTATCCCTCTTCTATCCGCCTCCCACTCTCTCCCTATTTATTTCAGAACCCCCTTCCCCTCCCCCTTTTCTGATGAAGGGTCTCCGCCCGAAACATCAGCCTCTCTGCTCCTATGATGCTGCTTGGCCTGCTGTGTTCATCCAGCCCTGCACCTTGTTGTCTCTCATTACATTTGTCCATCTGGTTTATTTCTGTTCAGGGTTTACAATTCATCATGACAGGGAGACACAGCAGCAGCTCTTGGTCTCTTCACGTACACTGCAACCATCACTACCAGCAGAGAGACAGACACCACCACGAGGACAATGGCTACTCCATGCAGAACCCAAGGTCTCCCAGAAACATCTGCGGGAGAGAGAGAGGGAGATCAGAGGAAGGTTTCTTTCTGCTGGAGGTCACAGGTGACCTATTGCAGAGGCTTCACTTACCATTTGCTCCAAGTTGTTTCTTGGCAATGTAAGCATTCCTTCCCAGGAGGATTGGGCCAGGTGCACTCACTACTGTCCCCTCATGGTCATGGGTACTCCTGCGCTGCCCTGTTGGAGCAAGGCAAAGATTAGACAGTTCTGACCCAATACAGGGAGTTTGTACGAGAGCTCACTTCAAGGTCAGAAAATGTTTGCAAGTAGACATCTGTACTTCATCCAGATCTGTAATTAGATGCAGTCAGCAAATACTTCCAAAACCTTGAAGTTGGAGGGGTTTTGTTGTGAAGAGTGTGACACTTGGGCAGTGACTGCTTTCACTCAGGCTGCCACTGGACTCCCAATAAGAAAAATTCAAGTCAGTGAAGTTGGAGAGAACACCTTGTATGCAACTATGTTGTTGCACTTGTCAGAATAACAAGTGTTAAGTGAAGTGTACATGTCAATGTAAAGTTATCAATTGTGACTTTTTTGGGAATGTCAGGTGCTTGGTTCATGTTAATCTTCATTCCAACGTGTTGTTCTAACCCTTAGCTTGTACTTTTGTGCCATAAGCAAAGCTAGCTTTAATTCACCATTCCACAGTGGAAGCACATTCAAGCTTATGTTCCTTCAGATACAGTTTGTAATGTTCTTGCCCTCGACTGTTACAACTCCAATAAGGCTCCTCAGATCGGTGTATTGTATTTCAATTTGTGACCACTAAATCCAGGCTTCAGTTTTGGGCATTGAGGGGGCACAAGTCAATGCTTTAAGAGATGGACCTGCAGTTCACATTTACATAAAGACCCCTTTCACTATAGATGGGCCAAGCCTCCAGACACAGGCCAGCAGAAATTCCTTAAGCAAGTTAGTCCAAACCCAGATCGGAAACAGATGGCTTCCCAATTCAGAGGGTGTGTGAACAGGAGGACATTAAGCCCCTTAACCTATGCTACCATTTGACAAATTGGAGTGACGTGGAGATCCATGGAGGACCATGGGCATTGCTGGCTTGGCCAGCATTTGTGGCCCATCTCCAGCTTCCTGAAAGTCAGGAACTGCAACAGTTTGAAGGCAGCTCACGTCTACCTCCACCCCATCCCCAACCCATCAGGCCCAGAGTCTGCCTTGGCAGGCCTGCCAGTGAATTGATCCCTTGGTCAAAATCTTGACCCACAACAACTGTTAAACTGAGCTTAGTTCTAATCAGAGACCATCCTTCAGCAACCACCTTATCAGACCCACTCAGCCTTGGAGACACTCCAAATCATCCCATTTGATCTTTAAGGGGCCCCACGATTTTGTGGGGAATTTTTACCCTAAACCTAAAAGGTCTATCTCACCTCCGCCCCTACTTTATACTAACATCCATATGCCTATCTAATAGCTGCTTAAATGCCCCTAACGAGGCTGACTCCACTACCCTCTCCGGCAACGCATTCCACACCCCGACCACTGAATAAAGAGCCTACCTCGGACATCTCCCCTATATCTACCTGCACTCACTAAA